TGTGGGGGGGGGGCGGGGTACGGTGGTTTTCTTTAATTTTTACTATATTTGCAGAGGAGCTTCTGGGAACCCAATAAGATTGGACTCCTAATAAAGTCCATGGCCTGTTGTGATTTATTCATAAAACTTTTCTAAAAAATTGTATGAATATATTTTCTCAAATAGTATATAATCAGAAATTATAATCTCTATTTCATGATGATGTCTTTGAGCTTTCACATACCTTATATTAAAACTATATATAGGGTTTTTTTAAAGCATTTTAACAAAAAAAAGATTTAAATAAAAAAGTCTGATTTTTTTTTTTTTTTTTTAATTGTTGATTTTTTTTTTTTTTCCCCCAACTTTTCTGCGGTACGACCCAGAGGGTGGTGGTCGATGGGAGCTAATCGTCTTGGTGCGCTGTGACTAGTGGGGTCCCACAAGGCTCTGTCCTAGGGCTTATACTATGTAACATATTCATCAATGATGTGGACATTGGTGTCAGAAGCAGACTGGCCAAGTTCGCCAACGACACCGAACTCGGGGGTAAAGCATCCACACCTGAGGATAGGAGGGTGATCCAGGCAGATCTGGACAGACTCATAAAATGGGTAGATGAGAACCTGATTGTGTTCAACACTGAAAAATGCAAGGTTCTCCACCTTGGGAGGAAAAACCTGCAGCATGCTTATAGGCTCAGTAGTGCTACGCTGGTTAGCACTACAGATGAAAGGGACTTGGGGGGTCATGGTTGACCACAAGATGAACATGAGCCTTCAGTGTGATGCTGTGGCCAGTAAAGGGAGCAAAACGCTGGCTTGCATCCATAGATGCTTCTCAAGCAAATTCCGGGTCGTCATTCTCCTGCTGTACTCGGCCTTGGTGAGGCTGCAGCTGGAGTACTGCGTCCAGTTTTGGGCTCCACAATTCAAAAAGGATTTGGAGAAGCTTGAGAGGGTGCAGAGGAAAGCCACACGCATGATCAGAGGCCAGGAAAACAGACCTTATGATGAGAAGCTGAGAGCCATGGGGCTATTCAGCCTGGAAAAGCTCTGGCTCAGGGGTGATCTGGTGGCCACCTATAAGTTTATCAGCGGTGCTCATCAGGATCTTGGGGAACATCTGTTCACCAGAGCCCCCCAAGGGATGACAAGATCGAACAGTCACAAACTCCACTGTGACCAATTCAGGCTGGACATAAGAAACAACTTCTTCACTCTCTGAGCCCCCAAGGTTTGGAATAGACTGCCGGTGGAGGAGGTTCAGGCACCCACTTTGAACGCCTTCAAGACACATTCATTTGGATGCTTACCTTGCTGGGATCCTATGACCCCTGCTGACTTCCTGCCCCTGGGGCAGGGGCTGGACTCAATGATTCTCCCGGGTCCCTTCCAGCCCAAATGTCTATGAAATCTATGAAACTTGATTGGGAACAACTCTTAGAAAGAGAGTGTTTTTAAGGTTCACACAGCGGTCCATTTAAACAAGAAAGAAAAATGGAGATTTCTGGTGGTTTTGGAACCAACCAGTCTTAACCTCATTGAGCCTTACAAAAGGTTTGGATTTTCACCTCTTTGCATTTACCCATACTTGCTAGTTTCTGTGTCCTGTAACTTAGCCAGTTACAGGAACATTGACTAAGACTTCTAGCCTATTCATTCTTTACATACCATAGAGTTTAATAACTTTCAGGAAGAGGAACATGCAGTTTCATTGGAGGGGCCCCCTCATGTGCTCTGCCCTGGACAGTTCCCCAGAGATACTTAGTCAGCAGTTTAGGATTTGAGGAGCAAGTAATTCTGTTCATCTTTGTTCTTGGTGTTGTCAGCCAGGATTTGTGTGTTTGGTTTTTTTTCCCATCCAATCTATCTTGGAAGCCCACCTGAGGTCTGAAAGATGTTTGGAAAGAGTCAAGAGAATGTTTTTTAAAGGCAATTCTTTAAAATATTTCAGGGGCTTTTCAAGAATTGCAGTGTCCTATTCCAGAGTACAGTTAGCTACTTAACTAGACATTTTTTTGGCCCATTTATATATCTAGTCTCTCTACTGCAAATCTGGCTCAACAGAATGAATTCAAATATCTTCTTTCAGTATACCCCAAAGAATTGTAACAAATTGCTTGAAATGCAATTCCAAAGTCAAAGGTCAGTGTGTGAGAGTCAGTCCAAGAAACTTTACACTTCCCCTGCTACTTCATGACACAAGTCTTGAAACTTTCCAAAGAGAACAATTTGATTTAATAGTATTTGTAAACAGCACCCACATTATTAATAAGTTATGTGAGTTTGTGTTATACTGGTACTGTGCATTATTTTGCATACATAGCATAATGTATCCTTATAATAACTTAGTGAGCACAGAATAAAACAAAACTTCACAATAGCAATTAACTTCGGAGAAGAGATTGACATCATATATCTGGACTTTAAAAAAGCCTTTGATGTAGTATCCCATGATCTCCTCATGGAAAAATTGGTTAACTGTGGCCTCGGCTACATCACAATCTGATGGTTGGGGAATTGCCTCCGAAGTTGGACCCAGAGAGTGGTAGTCGACGGAAGCGAATCGTTCTGGTGCTCCGTGACCAGTGATGTCCCCCAAGGCGCCGTCCTTGGACCTGTACTCTTTAACATCTTTATTAACCACGTGGACGCTGGTGTCAGAAGCAGACTGGCCAGGTTCTCTGATGACACCAAATCCTGGGTTAGAGTGCCCACACCCGAGGATAGGCTGGTGATCCAGGCTGACCTTGATAGGCTTAGAAAGTAGGTGGATAAAAACCTGATGACTTTCAGTATGGAAAAATGTAAGGTACTCCACCTCAGGGAGGCGGGTGGGGTGGGGAAATCTGCATTGCACATCACCCTTATGGGCTCTGCAGTGCTATGCTTGCTAGCACCACAGCTGAAAGCGACTTGGGGGTAATGATTTACCACAAGATGAACATGAGCCACCAATGCGACGTTGCAGCTGGTAAAGCAAACAAAACTCTGGCTTGCATCCATAGATATTTCTCTATCAAATCTCAGGATGTCATCCTCCTGCTGTTCTCAGCCTTGGTAAGGCTGCAGCTGGAGTACTGCATCCAAGTCTGGGCTCCACAATTCCAGGAGGATGTGGAGAAGCTTGAGAGAGTCCAGAGGAGAGCCATGCACATGATCAGAGGGCAAGAGAAACAGGCCTTATGAAGAGAGGCTGAGAGGAATGGGACTATAAATGCACAGGCTCAGGGGTGACCTGGTGGCAACTTTATAAGTATATGAGGTGTACATCAGGATCTGGGGGAACGCCTGTTCACCAGAGTGCCCCAAGAGATGATAAGGTCCAACGGTCATAAACTCCTGCAAGACCGTTTTAGGCTGGACATAAGGAAAATCTTTACTGTCCAAGCCCCCAGGGCCTGGAATAGACTCCCTTCAGAGGTGGTGCAAGCACCTACTCTGGATGTTAAGAAACGTTTGGATGCTTATCTTGCTGGAATGTTTTGACCCTAGCTGACTTCCTGCCCTTGGGGCAGGGGGCCGGACTTGATCTTCCGAGGTCCCTTCCAGCCCTAATGTCTATGAAACTTAAATTAGCCATGTGAAATTTTGGTTCTCCTTTTACTTTACTGTCATCTCTCTAAAGTGCTTTTTTTTTTTCTAACATGACTCTTAAAACTTGTTATAAAACCAGTGCAACTTGTAAGAAATTTTTAGGAAGCCTTGTCTACAAATATAAGGAATGACAATAGTTGTCCTGATTTTGTTCACAAACACTGTCTTGAACTAGGCCTTAATCTTGTTCAGCTGTCAATATTGTCAGACAAATGAGGAAAATGCTAATTAGGCCCTTCCCTTCCCCTGCTTAACATTTTTTATAACACTGTCTCATTCTATAATGGAAATTTAAGAGTAAGGCATGAGCATCTTGAAAAGTATATGAGAATTTACTAAATTGTGCATATAATTGATTAGAGCTTAGTGATAGATAAAGGAAGAAGTTGTGGCATATCATTCCTCTTGTTTTGCTTATACCAGTTCAGTAGATAAGGTAGATTTTTTGCTTTATGTCTCCAACTGATTTCTTAACTTGAGGTTTTTTTCACTACCTGGCATTGAAATGTGAATTTCAAAAATGAATGAGGCATGCTTCCAGATTCTGGCATATAAAAGCAGTTCTCACATGCACACACATGAATTAACGTTCATTTATTTGTTTTGTCCTTTAAAATCAGGTTTAAAGAAGAAAGTGAAGAAATCTAAGACAGAGAAAAATAATACAGAAGATGAAGCTGAGATAGAGAAACAGAAGGTAAATTGTATGAAAGCATTAAGGATGAAAAGTATAGGGCATATTCTTGTACTTACTATATGCATACAAGAAGAGTCAAAGAGTTCTGCTAGTGAGTT